ACCCTGGGACCCTCGAGGGAGAAGAGCGGAGTGTGGGACCCTATCCAGAGAAACAGTGATGCCAGAGATGGAGGCAGAGAAAATGACGTGGAGAGATGGAGTGGCTGAGGACTCTAGACTCAGGGAGGGGGAAGGGCTGTGCGCTAGTGGCCAGGGGGCAGGCTTGCAGGGTATGCCCTTTGGTTGTTTGAATGATTGTATATTGTTGCTGAGTGCTTTGGTGTACACCAAAAAAAAAAGAAAAGAAACAAAAACAGAGGAATGGAAGCAAATGCTGTTGAATGATGATACATGGAGGGGATTGTAGTCATTGCAATGAGACAAAGTACGATGGGATGAGTGTAAGGCTGATGTTCTCCCATGCAAACTCAATTCACAATAAAAACTTATTAAAACAAGATGCTTTCTTTCCAAATAACTGCTTCTTGGTCTATGTAATGTTCCTCATGAGTATAATTAAGTGTTCTGGAATGCCCATTTTTCACAATCTTATCCATAGTTTGTTGTGATCTACATAATTGAAAGCCATTGCATAATCAATAAAGCACAGGTAAACATTTTTCTGCTATTCTCTGCTTTCCATGTCTGGTATTTTGCTTTCTATGATATCCTTCATAACATGTCCTCGTCTGAAACCAACCTGAACCTCTGGCAGTTCCCTGTCAATGCACTGGTGCAGCCATTTTTAAATTATACTTAGCAAAATACTACTCACATGTGATGTTAATGATGATTTCTGTATTCCTTTGGGTCACCTCTGTTTGGATTGGGAACAAATATGGATCTCGTCCAACCAGTTGGCCATGTAGCTGTTTTCCTAACTTTTTAGCATAGATGAATGAGTACTTCTGGGGTTCCTTCAGTTAACTGAATGATTTTAATCTGTATTTCATCAATTCCCACAGCCTTGTTCTTTGCCAATGCCTTCAGTGCACTTTGGACTTCTCCTTTCAGTACCCTTGACATTTGATCATATGCAACCTCTTGAAATGGTTAAACATTGTCCATTTCTTTTTTGTACATGGACTTTGAATATTCCTTCTATCCATTTATTTCCTTTTATCTATTTTTGATGCCTTCTGAATCATTCAGTATTTTGCCAATAGAAACCTTCAGAATTGCAAGTTGAAGCCTGAATTTTTTCTTCAGTTCTTTTAGCTTGAGAAATGCTAAATATGTGTCTTCCTTTTGGTTTTATAACTTCAGGTCTTTGCACATTTCAGTATAATATTTGACTTTGTCTTCAGGAATTCCCTTTGAAATTCTCCATTCAGTTCTTTCACCGCCTCATTTTTCCAATATTTTCTAGCATTCCTAAACTGAAAAGCAAATTTCAGAGTCTCTTCTGACATCCATTTTGGCCTTTTCCTGCTTTCTTGTCTTCTTAATGACCTTTGGCTTTCTTTCTATATGATGTTCTTGATGGCATCCTACAACTCTCTGGTCTTCGGTTATTAGTGTTTAATTTATCAAATCTGTTCTTGAGATGGTCCCTAAATACAGTCGGAATATGTTCAAGGTCTATTTTGGCTCTTGGGAACTTGTTTTAATATTCTTCAGCTTCAGCCTGAATTTTCAGATAAGCAATTAATGGTATGTTCCAGTCTGCCCCTGGCTTTGTTTTGGCGATGAAATGGAGCGTCATCATTTCTTTCCACAGATGTAGTCAATTTGATTTTTGTGAATTCCATTTGATGATGTCCATGTGTATAGTCATTTTTTTTATGGTCTTTAAAAACATATTTGCACTTCCTTTCCAACCTGGTCCCATTGCTATTGCTCCCACAAAGAAGGGTGGCAAGAAGAAGAAGGTCCATTCTGCTATCAACAAAGTGGTGACCAGAGAGTACACCATCAACATTCACAAGCACTTCCATGGAGTAGGCTTCAAGAAGTGTGCCCCTCTAAATTTGTTTGATCATAAACTGTTAGTTTTCATCCACATTGACTGTCTGTAGGTTTTTGAAAGTGGTGACCGGCACATAGGTCACCAGT